TTCCTTTTCCATGTTTATAAATATCAAAGTTTTTAAGAAAAATTTATTTTTAAAATATCAATATTTTGGGTGGGATTCAAGAAAAAATATATATATTTTTTGGGCCGGTCGGTCGGGTTTCACAGGTCAATTTTTTTGTTTTTTTTTTTTTTTTAAATATGCAAATTACATTTTCTTTTCCATGTTTGTAAACATCAAAGTTTATAAGAAAATTTTATTTTTAAAACATCAATATTTTGAGCGGGTTGGTCGGGTTTCACGGGTCAATTTTTTTTTTTTTCCCAAATATGCAAATTATATTTTCCTTTTCCATGTTTGTAAACATCAAAGTTTTTAAGAAAATTTTATTTTTAAAATATCAATATTTTGGGCGGGACGGGTCAATATATATATATTTTTTCAAATATGCAAATTACATTTTCCCATGTTTGAATATGGATCTTGACCCATATTTGACCCGTCCATTTTCAACCCAACCCAAACCTGGCCCAACCCGCCCATTTGCCACCCTTAATAATAGGGCTGTAACTTGGGCGGATTAATCCACACCCAACCTAGAATTTTGAAATTTGAGCTTTAATTTCACGAGTTGGGCTCATGTTCAAGTTGGGTTTTGTCAAAACCCAGACATGTTCGGGTTGGGCTCGGGCTTAACCCGAACCCAACCCAAAATAAAAAATATTTTATTTTTTTTCTCCTTTCTCTCTCCTCTCTCTTCTTTCTCTTTCTCCCTGCCACCATCCCCTCTGCTGCCACCTCCAGCGGCGGCCAAGTTTATAGATCTAGTATCCACAAGAGTTTCAAGTTTTCAATCTCAAACGGGATCAAGCCAGAAAATTGATCCACCGCCGCCGCCGTCACTTTCAAAAATTAAAACAAAACCTATACATATAAGTTAGCAGTTGCAAAGAGAGGGGGGGGGGGGGAGCTTGAGAGTTGAGAGACAGTGGCTGAAGCTTGCGAACGACGAACCCGAACTGGAACAGCGGGCGATGGAAACTAAAAGATACGAGTTTTGATTTTTTGAACAATCTGCAATGATATGCCGATATGGGTTTTAATACAGGTAATAGGTTTTGAGCTTTTGATTCTTAGATAAATTGAAATATATGGGTTTTGAACTTTTGATTCTTGCAGATTTTGTAGTTTGCAATTACAGAGAGAGAGAGAGAGAGGACAAGTTCAGGGTTGAGACGAGGGATAGAAAATGGAGGCGATTGGGGAGGCTGAAATGATTTGCCCTAAAAATATTTTGTTTTTTTTAATAATAATATAATAAAATTATATAATCAAATATATATAATAAATTAAAAAAACTCAACCCGTCAACCCAACTCGCCCAAAAAATTCGGTTCGGGTAATGACCATAAACCATATTGGATACAATTCGGAATGACCCAACTCAACCCGATTTTGGGTTGAGGTTGGGTTGGGATTGGGTTAGGTTGGGCCAGCCCAACTTGCAGCTAGAAGAACTAGGAATAACGGAGAAAAATTGTCTCGGGACACCCTTTGCTGATGTGGCATGGGAGACATGACACGTATGTGCATAAAGTATTGTATGTATCTAATAGTCTCATATGTATCTGTACAAGACATCTGTATACACACAATCTTAAACTCGCTCTACGCCGACGGTGATCTTTCTCAGTCCGACGTAATAGTATACTGAAAATGCCCGTTTCTCGGCGACCACTGGATTTTTAAAGAACGGGGTGTAGCTGACATTGTCGGTCCTGTGGCCGGAATCTGACTCGCCGTCCAACACGAGCAAGCTGCTTTCACCGCTGTCGTCGAATTGGTGCGAGAGAAGGCAATAAGAGAACTTTCTGAGACCGAGTTGACTCGGCAGCGAGGCAGAGCCACGGCCGAACCCGGAAATTCCGGCGGGTTGACGGGAAGAGAAGAGAGAACAGCCGACGACGACGAAGTTGACGGGAAGAGAAGGAACAATTTTTGCAGAGGTAACTTTGAGTACATGGAAACCAATTGAAATCAGAAAAGGGATGGTTTGGGGTGGTGTGCCAAAGCTGAGTGAAATGGAGTAGCCTCCATAGCTGTGAGGGGTGGTAGAGAGAGCAACAACTGGGGGTTTTTTGAGGTGGTGGTCTCTGGTTAAGGAAGTGGAGGCTAGATGGGTGAGGGTTTGGTATGGATCTAGAGATGGAGATGGGTTTGTGTGGAAATGGGAGAGAGGGATGGTAATGGTGGAGGACGTTGATGAAGAGAGTAGAGAGAGAAAGCAGAGGAAAGAAGAAGGGGAAGCCATGGGTCTGCCTTCTTTTGGCCTTAAGTATGTATTTTGTCTGTAATATTCATACATAATAAAAAAAAAAGTAAGGTTTAAAAGTTACTGCTGACTTGGCGCTTCGTCAAGGCAATGACGTGGCAAAGTATGCTGACATGTCTTCATTCAAACCCTTGGATCTGCCATAGACACCCTCCAGTAAGAGGTGCCATGGAGAGGATTACAGCCCAGGAATACAGGTCTCAAAAATAAAAAATCTTGTATCCTTAAAAGAGCGAGCAGTGGTATGCTTAATTAATAAAAATTCACCACATATATCGTAACGCTGCATTTCACCATCTGTATTTCACCATCATAAACATAGAAATGATAAGAGCAGAGAATATAGCATGGAGGTCTATAATTAGTAATTACATAAATTTTAATTGTAAGATTGTTTTCCGGAAGAAAGTCTTTAGTGTAGTCTTCTATTTGCACTTAATTCTCTTCCTTGCCAGCTCCAATGCCATGGCCTTTCTGAGAGTCTTAGATGTTTTGTCATGTATGAGAAAGTATCCGTGCCAGCCGTGCCGAAATTTCAAGTTTTCCACCACCGTAACATCTTTTTCATTTTCATTGGAGAGGGTGAAAGATGATGTAGCAACAAGCGCTTGAATTGTTGTATTGATCTGGGTCCTTACAGCCGAAGTGTCCTCGTTCCTCGATTCCAGATCTTGCAGGTCATTTTGCAGATTGAACAATGCCCGGAGAGCCTCATTGCCGGGGTGAGTCGCAGTCATACTGAAATTTTTATTGTCAAGCATTAAAATCAAAGTTTGCATAAGAGAAAATATAAATATTAAGGCATAACATCCAGCCTCTCTTTACAGTTCAAATATAAATAGTGTGAGTCCTTTCTACTATATCAATTAATAACAAACTAGCTAATTCAATCATCTTGATTGGAGATGAACATAACACAAATACGTGAAACCCACGTTCTGTGGCAGCAAATGTTATGAAATCTGGAACAGCTAAAGCACTCATCAATGATTTAAATCCTAGTTCAGTCCTGTAAACAACAATCAACTTCCAAGACCAAGTCTGGTTTACACATGCACAAAGAGAATTCGCAGTACTGTAAATATAATCCATTTCTAAGTGTTTTAAGTAAATGGCTTTCCAATTATAGCATGTTAATGCCTTGAGAAGAGTGAATTTCAGAAAGTGCTGACTATTTATTCCTAGAAACTTACTTTGAAATTCTTGTCCTCAGTTCTTCAAAATTATTTTTTCCTAGAAACTGCCCAATTAGAACTTGACATCATACAATGGCATACAAAGAAGCTTCAATTAACAGTAGTACAATAGACCAACTAACAATCTGATCTTTCTTCCCCTCAAATTCGAAGTCTATATGGGATGTTTCAATAATAAAACGGCTCACAAAATTAGAAATGCTAACCTTTGAAGAAATGACCCCAGGTAAACAATTAGGCCAATTAATGGTAGTACAATAAGGCCAATTAGCCTTAAGAACTTGACATCACACAATGATAATTAGCAGTAAATGTTTACCTTTGAAGAAATTATCCCAAGTAAACAATAAGGCAAATTAACAGTAGTACAATAAAGCCAATTACCCTGTTGAACTTGACATCACGCAATGGCCCTAGCCCAATTAAAAATAGGCCCATATAGAAATGACAGTGCAAAATAAACTTATAGCAACCACCCATATATACAATTGACAATATAGAGCAGTAAACTAAATCACTTAATCCTATGCACTAGTATAATTTTCTGAATATATTACATCTCTCTCTACTTTTTAATTACTAAACACAACAGGTTTTGAAAAACCACCATTGCATTGGAGCCTCACAGTTGACAGACTGATGTCCAATGACTTCCAAATGTTGACGTACGTCATGGACTCAATTCTGTATCAACTCTTATTCTCTCTATCTCTAGTTCAGTAGTCATTCTCTAGTTCAGTAGTCATTAACGTACTCTGTTCTTTGAAGGTTTCCTCCCTCCTCACCAATAGCAAGCTAGAGGGCAGAGGACACTAATGTGCAAGACTTCCTAAAACATGTGTGTGATTGAAACTCCTTGTTAATTTTCCAGTATAGAAACGAATCCCGGCCACCGCAGGTCCGTATATATATTTTAGCTAAACTAAAACATTCGGAGACAATAATAGGACCAAAACCGATTTCCATTAATACATAAATACAAGAAAACACGATTCACGGTCATTTGGATGAACTAATTCTCATTCATAATATATAACACACACTATATATAAATAAATATATATATATATATATATATATATATATATATATATGAAGTTACCTCGATTGAGTGTGAGAGAGATTGATTTGATCTTAGTCTTTTTGTATCAAACAATATCACCTACAACAACAATTAGAATCAAAAATAATAATTTTGAAACCTAAAATGAAAAACCTTTAAATTTCATATATATATATATAGAGAGAGAGAGAGAGAGAGAGAGAGGGAGTGAACCTGCACAAAGTAGAAGCAGCGCAACCGAAACGAGAGTGTGACGACACTTTATAATCAGCGGGAAAGAAAAAAGAATTTTTGACCAATGTACCCTGGTAGCTTTCATTTTCTAATTGAAAAAAAAAAAAAAAGTATAGACATTTGAAAAGGATAAAATGGGAAATTCACACTTTCAATATTTTTTTTTATAATAAATTATTTAATTTTTTTAAAAAATAATTATATACCAGGACCACTTTTTCTCTCTCTACTTTGGTGCTTGTAGAGAGAGAAAGATTCATTTTCACAGTCGGGAAATATGGTGAATTACGTGTTGATGATCACCGCCGAGGCTCGAGAACCTCACCGATCTTCAGCCTCAAGAAGGCTGCGATGATCCAAACTCAAAACGCTACAAAAACGCTACAAAAATAAACTCAAGAAGGCTGCGATGATCTTCAGCCTCAAGAAGGCTTCGAATGTAGGTATTTATTTTTGTAGCGTTTTGATTTTGTATCAGTTCATTTTACTTGGTTATACTCGTTTTCACTCTGTTTTTTTTTTTTTTCCCCTCTTTTATTTGAATTTTATATGATTATTATTTGTTGATTGAGATCTGTGTGTTAGTCTAGGTTTCTGATTTTGTATTAATTCATATTTGCCAAATCTTCAATACTTTCTTATTTCAAATTGAATTCAGATGATTATTCAATAAAATGTATTATGATTATTCCAACTGATATAAATTCCACCCCTATTCTTCAACTATTTCTTACATCACTTCATTATTTCTGATTATCAATTTTTTTAATTAGAATATCACGTTTTGATTTTGTATCAGTTCATTTTACTTGGTTATACTCGTTTTCACTCTGTTTTTTTTTTTTTCCCCTCTTTTATTTGAATTTTATATGATTATTATTTGTTGATTGAGATCTGTGTGTTAGTCTAGGTTTCTGATTTTGTATTAATTCATATTTGCCAAATCTTCAATACTTTCTTATTTCAAATTGAATTCAGACGATTATTCAATAAAATGTATTATGATTATTCCAACTGATATAAATTCCACCCCTATTCTTCAACTATTTCTTACATCACTTCATTATTTCTGATTATCAATTTTTTTAATTAGAATATCACATTTCTTTGCTTGGAATTCTGATTGTTTCTAACTTCACTCTATTTAGTTCCACCTCTGTTCGGTTTAGTTCTCATTTTACTAGGAATGTAGGTGATTATTATTATTTTCTATTAAATATTATGAGTAATCACATAGAACTAAACTATGTGTTCCATGTGTTCTTTATTTCACTATGATATAAGTGATTGTTTTATTGTTGTTTTGATCTAAGTCTCATGTTTTTGGTGTGATACATATGTGTGCGTGTGTGTTTGCGCGCGCGCGCGCTAAATTGCTAAAATATTTGATTTGTCCAGATGAAGTGTGGGAATTGTGGAGAGTTGACACAGAAAGAGACATGTGTGAGTTTGAATGAAACAGTTGCACTGCCGAAGGGTTCCACTAACCTTGTTCAGAAGGTGAAATGTCTTCTCTACTCCCTTCTATATATTTCTGCATCAGGCAGGCCTGAGTTTATGAATTAATTTATAATATTCTTTTATGTCTTTTATTAAGAAAGGCTTGGAAAATGCTTGTGTGATTACTCTGTGTGGGTGTGCGTGCGCGCACGCACACGCACTATATATGTAGGTATGAATTAATTTTATGATCTTAATGATTTTACGGATTAACTGTGAGGAAGGGCTTGCTGTAGATAATGTTTAGACCATAAGATTAGGTTTTAATGGTCATTGGGTCACATATATTGGTTCCACTCTTTTTTGTTACCTGATTATTAACAGTTATTGCCTTTGTTATTTTTAATTGCAAGTTTCTTGGAGGGGAGGGTGTTGTAACAATGGAGTAATTTTACGAGTTTTAATTGAGTCATGAATTTGTTGAGAGGAAGCATTGAGTTCTAACATATAGATCCATGATATTAAGTTCTAGAGGAACTTTTTATTTCCTCACTGTCCAGTTATTTTACGAGTTTTAATTGAGTCATGAATTTGTTGAGAGGAAGCATTGAGTTCTAACATATAGATCCATGATATTAAGTTCTAGAGGAACTTTTTATTTCCTCACTGTCCAGTTATATTAGTTCTGAATTCATTTTGATCCTTTGGTTGTGTCACATATATTGGTATGTTCTTTTGGTTTATTCCTAAATGATTGTTAACTGATACATTGTTGGCTTTGTTAACTGATACATTGTTGGCTTTGTTCTGTTTCCTTTGCAAGTTTTGGGAGGTAGGATAATTTAACAATGAATTAGTATTACAATATTCTTAATGTTTCATACACTTGTAATGTAGTAGGGATCGCAGTAAATAACATTTAGATCCATAGTATTGAGTTTTAGAGAACACTTATATTTCCATACTATCCTATATTCTGATATGTTTCTTATTTTTTTTGATCCTTTGATTGGGTCACATATATTGCTCTCGCTCTTTCGGTTTACTCCTGAAAGGATTATTAACTGATATGTTGTTGCCTTTGTTCTATTTCAAGTGCAAATTTTGCGGGAGGGAGGGGACTGTAACAATGATTACCGGCCGTGGCCGTCCACTGACCCAGGCAATTAGTGAATTAGGAAAGTTTTCTTCATTGATGTTGTTTGACTGCAGGGGCTATGAGCCTGTTGAATTTTCATTTGGCAGTGGCTGGAAAGTTGAATCAGTAAGTCTTTGATTGCTTTGCGTGCCAGTTATTAATCATGTAGCATTTTTTAACTATTAAGTTTGAAATGTACGTAAGCACATTAGTGACTCTTTCTAAACCTTTTAACTGCATCATTGAATCATTGATGTACTGTGGTAGATATATCTTTCCATCTGATTCTGGTATCTAGCAGGTCTTGGACATTGTTACTGTTGTTCATGATAACACAGACCTCTTTTTTTATTTTTTTTTTAGTTTTTCATCCTTCTTGAAATGCAATGAGGAATCCAGTATGCTATAGTTTAATGATTGGTGGTGAGTTCAAGGACATTGCATGTACTAATATAAATTGTTAAAATTTTGCTTTGTGGATTCACTATTGAATAGGAAATAGTTATTTGCAGTCCTATTATTGGATTTTGAGTTTGTTTTGTGGAGTATGGCATGCATTTTGATTTTCCCAAATTTCGGTAACCATCTCCACATTTATTACACAATTTACATCTCATGAGCTGGCAAATATTATTTAGCGGTCAAAATTTAGTGTCTGGATTGTTGAAAACACTATATATCGTTTAAAAAGCTAAAAATAATTGAAGTATGTTAAAGGTTCAACAAAGAATGCACTTCTAACTTTTTGATTAGTTTTTCATATCTGTAATATACATTAACATGACTTCCATTCATTTATATATGTTTGTTCTGTGTTTCATTGAAGAACCCGCTTTTCCCACTGCCACCCCCATATCAGAAAGAAAAAATTTAAGAAATCAGTACCCAAAATGATATGCCAATTGCTTATTAGTGGCCAAATATTACTTGGTGATCAAAATTTGATGTCTGACTTGCTGAAACACTATATCAGATTATCAGCTGTGACACTTAAATGCTAAAAATAATTCAACTATGTTAAATATCCAATGAAAGAATGTACTTTTATGTTTGTAATTAGTTTTGATCTCAGTAACATTCATTAACGCGACTTCCATTCATTTATATACTTCTGTTTTATGTTTCATAATCAACAAAAATGGTTCCTGAAAACTTGTGATACTGCTTTAAAAAACATTGAGGTCTAGGCAAGTGTTCATCTCGGTTAATGTACCAAGATGAACACTTGCTGAAACACTATATCAGATTATGCCAATTGCTTATTAGTGGCCAAATATTATTTAGAGATCAATATTTGATGCCTGACTTGCTGAATCAGATTATCAGCTACGACACTTAAATGCTAAAAATAATTCAACTATGTTAAAGATCCAATGAATGAATGTGCTTTTCTGTTTGTTTAGTTTTGATCTCAGTAACATACATTAATGCGACTTCCATTCAATTATATACTTCTCTTTTGTGTTTCATAATCAACAAAAATGATTCCTGAGAACTTGTAATACCTTAAAAAACATTTAGGTCTAGGCAAGTGCTCATCTCGGATAATGTGCCCCCCGCCTAATTAGTAGTTGTATGGTTTATTCCACCCATTTGTAGGTGTAAGGAAAATGTTAGGAGTCATCATGATTTAGTGATGAACCTTTACAATTCCTCGATCTAATTATAACGGAAGTTAGTTTGTTGGCCAACTATTTCTGTGGCCTTCTTTTTAATCTTTCGTTTGTTCTACTGCTATATTGTTTTATGTGTTGGTACCTATGCTTTGTGATTTCATTAATCTCGTAAGCCATAATCACATGCTAATTTGCATTGCACCTGATTCACTCTAAACAATCTTTTGTTGGATTAGAGTAAAAAACAAGTTGCATGGGGCATAAACCAAAATATATCAGCATTTAAGTTGTGATTTTATTCCTTATGTCCCATTTTCTTTTTCTAGAAAGCAAGTGGACTCGAGTCACTTTTCATCTGTTCCAACATATGGACAGAGTCCGTTAAAATATTATTTCAATGTGGAATATGATGCATTCCTGTCTAAGTTCTTGCTGATTTTATAAGATATTAGCTTGCTATGTTGCGCACGCGTCTCTCTCTCTCTCTCTCTCTCTCTCATATATATATATATATGAACTGCACAGTCGGCCATTAGACTGTTGCACATAAACTGAAGTTGGTTTCTCAGAGAACTGGAGAGTTTTATGAAAAAATATGGATTAGAGATGCATTTCCCCCTCATTTTACTTTGGTCTCTCTCATGTTATAAATATTTGCATACATACGGTCTATATTTTTATGAAAATCACTTTGCAGTTTCATGTTCTGTATATAACGAGCTGAATTTTACCTTCATGTTGGATCTTTTTGTGTGCACTTATTTGTAACCCTTTTTGTGTAGCTGGAAGGTACTACATTTGATGGCATTGACTTGTCTGGAGACGAATTCGCTGAATATGATGAGAAGGGAGAGTGCCCAGTCATGATATCTAACCTTCGCTATATGTTCCACCTGGTGAAGTAGGTGGCAAATCCCTGTGTTCATTTTCACTGTATATAAAATGGTGAACGGGTACAGACTTCTTACGCTGTAGAAAAATTTGACCGCACGGGAAAATCCGTGACTTGATGCTTGTTCAACTGACAGTTATCTTCTAGATATATTGGTAACTACTTTAAGCGGACTAATGAAATGCATTCCATAGATTGTGATCTTTAGTATCTTGTAAGATTCATTTTTCATTTGCTCAATGATCACCGAGACTGAGAATGAATGATGATGATATGAAACAGAAAAATTATGACTTAGTGACCGAGCCTAGAATGCAAATCTTACAGTTAAAAGTTAATTAGGCAAGTGCTAATCTCGGTTAATGTGCCACCCGCCTAATTAGTTTTTATTCAAATTTTTGTTTGCGTGTTAGATTGTGATCCCATATAGTTCCATGTAATAATTTTTCGGTTAGGTGGTGTGTTTGGAAGTATGGCTAGCCCAACCGTGGGGTTGCATGGCCCAGAGTAGCGAACTTATTATTGATCGGTTAGAATGTTTTCGGTCCAGATCCTTCTCTATGATGCCGATATATCATTCTATTGAACAATTTATCCGGTTAGATTAGATGAAAATAGGTAGAAAGGAAAGGAAATTTTTATTTTTTCTGATCCTTTGATTGGGTCACTAATATTGCTCTCGCTCTTTCGGTTTACTCCTGAAAAGATTATTAACTGATAGATATGTTGTTGCCTTTGTTCTATTTCAGGTGCAAATTTTGCAGGAGGGAGGGGACTGTAACAATGATTACTGGCCGTTCCCAGGCAATTAGTGAATTAGGAAAGTTTTCTCCATTGATGTTGTTTGACTGCAGGGACTATAAGCCTGTTGAATTTTCATTTGGCAGTGGCTGGAAAGTTGAATCAGTAAGTCTTTGATTGCTTTGCTTGCCAGTTATTAACCATGTAGCATTTTTTAAGTTTGAAATGTACTTGAGCGCATTAGTGACTCTTTCTAAACCTTTTAACTGCATCATTGAATCATTGAAGTACTGTGGTAGATATATCTTTCCATCTGATTCTGGTATCTTGCAGGTCTTGGACATTTGTTACTGTTGTTCATGATAAAATGGACCTCTTTTTATTAATATTTTTAGTTTTTCATCTTTATTGAAATGCAATGATGAATCCAGTATACTATAGTTTAATGATTGGTGGTGAGTTCAAGGACATCGCATGTACTAATATAAATTGTTAAAAATTTGCTTTGTGGATTCACTATTGAATAGGAAATAGTTATTTGCAGTTCTATTATTGGATTTTGAGTTTGTTTTGTGAGAGTATGGCATGCATTTTGATTTTCCCAAACTTCAGTAACCATCTCCACTTCCACATGGTGAAGTAGGTGGCAAATCCCTGTGTTTATTTTCACTGGTATATAAAATGGTGATCGGGTACAGACTTCTTACGCTGTAGAAAAATGGGAAAATCTGTGACTTGATGCTTGTTCAACTGACAGTTATCTCCTAGATATATTAGTAACTATAAGCTGACTAACGAAATGCATTCCATAGATTGTGATCTTTAGTATCTTGCAAGATTTGTTTTTCATCTGCACAATGATCACCGAGACTGAGAATGAATGATGATGATATGAAACGGAAAAATTATGACTTAGTGACCTAGCCTAGAATGCGAGTCTTACAGTTAAAAGTCAATTAGTACAGTGACCATGGTAAATCACTACGTAGTAATTTTCTTATGATGTTTTGATGCTTGTGGAGAATGAACCTGTTGACATCCACCCAACACTTGCTTAGTTGAGAATAGCCAGTGTGAAGTAAATTTTAGTTGCACTATGGTATTGAGTCAAGTCTCTGTTGAATTTGCTTGGTTCATATTGAAGATGCTTTGGTCATATCTCTGTTGCTTTCTCAACATCAAATAGCTAGACTGAAATATATCCGGTATATTAGGTAGGATAAATTATTACCTGGTCTCCGGGCCAATCACAACTCGTCATGCAAGTAAATGTGTTAGTTTTTATTCAAATTTTTGCTTGCCTGTTTGATTGTGATTCCATATAGTCCCATGTAATAATTTCTCTGTTAGGTAGTGTGTTTGGAAGGTACAGTTAGCCCAACCGTGGGGTTGGGTGGCCCAGAGTAGCGAACTTATTATCGATCAGTTAGAATGTTTCCGAGTCCAGATCCTTCTCTATGATGCCTATATATGATTCTATTGAACAATTTACCTAGGCTCTGTTACATTAGATGAAAATAGGAGAAAAGGAAAGGAAAGGAAAAAAAAGGAATGGGGCCTTTGGAGCTGAGTGCTGAATGGGGTTTTGTTTGGTGATCAATAGTATATTTGGCACGTAGTTGACATCAATGTAAGGTTGTCTGGTTGCTCGTCTAGTCCACGTAGGCTGCTACTTGGTGATTGGTGGGCAATCCTTGTTGTTGTTGTAGGTGGGTCCATGGCCTCCTCAAGACTTGGTTCCATTCTGACACGTGACTGGAATCATATTTATATTAACTTAATAGGCGGGCAATCCAATAATTGAATGGTGAAGTTGAGACTTCATATTCCAATAATTAAATGAGAAGTTAAATGAACATCACCAAATGGTTTGTGTACTTGTGAATTGTGAATGAGTAACGCCATCATGGTCCATGGTAGTTTACTTACTCTGGCTGCTCAAAATGATGAAGCATGGTCCAAATGTTCAAAGCATCTGGCTATATTTATGTGATTACTTTTTCGGTCCATGAATGTAATATATTTATGAAAATTAATGTATACTCTCACAACATGTATGTATTTTTTTTAGTTGGTATTCACATATTATATACGTCTTCATTGAAGTTTAAATTTTTGACCTTTCACTGAAAAGTAGGGGTTTGGTATCACTGGCTTATATTGCTACTATTAAGATACACGGCCACGTTGATGTGTAAAATTGTTGTGTTGTATATTTTACATAGTCACATTAACATATTTCTTTTCTCCTCACTCATTCTCATTAATCAACCTTATATTAAGTAGATTTGTAAAAATTATGTGAGGTCCAGACATGACACTATTGGTTGTTATTAAAAGATATATTTTTATACAAAAGGTATAAAATAATTGTTGGAGTTAAAAATAAATAATTTAAAATTTTTATGTAAATGTATCATGACACGTCAAATTTATATAAAATAATAATAATATTATTATTATTATTATTATACACAATGATCGGAGAAATTTTAAGAAAATAAAACTCTCCGTTTTGATAAAATAAGAAAGTGAGACTCCGTTAACATAGTACTTGCATTATTGAAAGGTACCTTGTATTGCTCTAATTGGCGTGACATGCCACTATCTAACGCTTGACACACATGATCATTAAATGTGAGGGATCTAATTTGATGAAAAAGTCTATTTTAACTTCTTAATCAACGGTAGACAAAGAAGAGTGTCTATGCAACGCATGAACTTCTATTTATAGTATAATTTCTTACATTCATTACTATAATCATAATTTGTTTGGTATAGGCACTTTGTAATCAAGAAATTAGCTAAGCCTCTTTGATTGCGCCGCATGATGGGTCCCAGCAGGTCAAGTGACAATCACTACTATTGACTGTACAAATATAAATTCATGTTTAAAAAAATCGATTGAAATACAATTAAACCCGATAGTAATTTGAAATGGGAATTGAGCCTTTCCAAACCCTTCCTTTTTTTTTTTTCTGTGTTTTTTTTTTCAAACCTTGTAGTGCTTAAATAGCACCAAATAAAAAAAGGACATGAAATATTGACTTACATTTAGATCTAATTAAATTAACACCTACCTATCTTCACAATTCAAATTTGACCTTGATTAATAATGATTCTTCTAAAAAAATATATTTCGAATTTAGAAAATGCACTTATTCAAATTTTGAAAGATGTTGATGAAGTATTGTGAATGTGAGTGTGGTAAGGTCTACAGCCCCATTTACACGTGTATACTCTGAATTGAAAGATGTATAATTGCTCTTCGTATTTAAAAAAAATTCAAAATCCAATATTCTTAAATTTTGGATTTAAAATCATAAGCCAAAACCAAAGGTTTTTTTTTATTTATTTGGATCGGATATCGGGTCATAACCCCCATTTGTATGGTTCTAATTAGTAATTACTCTTCTAAATAACAATAATAAGGGTTATAAACAAATCAGAGTTCGACAAAACGCAACCTCTCTCTCTCTGTTCGTGTGTGTGTGTGTGTGTGAACTGTGTGATGTCAAAACATTCTTGGAACCCAATTCCATAGATCTCCTCCCCTTCCCCTGGATTTCCCCACCACATTCTCATTTCTCTCTCTCTCTAAAAATCCTTCCACTCTCTCTCTCTCTCTAGCTCTTTAACTTTCTTCCCATCCTCTTTCCATCCCCTGCCTAACCTTCCTCTCCCCCACTTTTGACTATTATCCTTATCTCGTCACCGCAATTCAAGCACAGTTAAAGACCGACCAATCAATTACACTTCTCGTCAATGAATTTGTGATATGTTCACTGTCCCATTTTCTTCTAAAATGTAATTACCAATCATTTCTACCTTTTTGCGTGATGCAGAACCTTCCGATTCTGTATTCGATCACTGTTATTTTCTCTATTAGCTTCATACCCATTTGCTCTGATCTCAGCTCGATGGTCTGGTTTGATCAATTGAGAAACTAACACTTTAGATCTCCAACAGTGAGTCAAGCACCCAATTGGTAAAGTTCAAATTCACTTCTCTGTTTGTGCTCTGAGATGCAATTTAGGACACAGTTTGTGATAATTTTAAGAAAATCTGGGATTGAAAAGGGTTTTTGAATGCAGAGAAGGGTGTTATTTGATTTGAATTAGCAGAAAACAAAATACCCAAAAGCTATGCAATCAAGGGTTGTGCCAATGGAGGAAGGGAAGGACCCTACAGTTGTAAGTAGGACAAACCAATCTAGGGTTTTGCCACAGAGGTTGATTCAGTTGCTTGGTCTCTTTCTGGTCTTGTGTATTGCATTTTCATTCATTAGTATTTACATGATTCGGTATTTTGGAGTTCATAGTGTGATGACACCTGTAGGGCCTAGGTTTCAGCCGTGTTTCGAAGAGCCTACTAGCTTAGAACATTTGATCAGGCCTCCGTCGAATTTGCTCCACTCCATGACTGATAAAGAGCTCTTCTGGAAGGCTTCTTTCGTGCCTAGAATTAAGAATTATCCGTTCACGAGGATTCCGAAGATTGCATTTATGTTCTTGACAAAGGGGCCATTGCCATTGGCACCTCTTTGGGAGAGATTTTTCAAGGGGCATGAGGGGCTTTATTCGATCTATATTCATTCACTGCCATCATTCCAATCTGATTTGCCGTCATCATCAGTTTTTTACAGGAGACAAATACCAAGTCAGGTGTGGTTTCTGCCAATTTATGTTTCTCACTAGTTGTAGATTTTCCATGCTTCTTGTAGTTTCCATGCTATATTTTCATGATGCCTCGTGCGGTCCGTGGTCTTTTTATCTTATGCTGATATTGTGAGATTTTATCCTTGTTTCAAAGTGACCTTTGCTCCTTACCTGTTGAACCATATCCTATAGGATCACTGCCCCTAAAGTAATGTAAAATTTTTTAGTTGTGGGTTCTGTAGAATGTTCTGTATTTACAAGAAAATTGGTGCAAATTTGTAGTAGTTCGAAGTATAAGTTGGCATTTTCTTGTAACTACTGCATGGTGGATAAAATCTATTCTGACAGAAGAATTTTTTTTGCACAATATTAGATTCTCAAAATGGACAGAATCCATTTTGGTTTGCACTTGGCTATCTTTGATAGATGTAAGTTTATATGGACATAACTAGTCACTGGTGATCTTTTATGTCCCACCTTATTTTCCATTATATCACAACCATTCCTAAGAAGTTTAATGAAAAATGTTATGGAATACTGTGGCACTGCTGCTGAATTTCTAAGTCATGTGAAATTAAATTTCTGATCTGAATCATTTGTCAAACTCTAATGAGCAGTGGTTCCTTGACAGAGGATTTACCATCCAGGTTGGTTATCTGACACCTTGAATTGGAAACCACTCTAATAGTACCTTTTGGCTTCCTCATGGTTAAATTTAAAAGATTCTTAGGATTCACAAACATTATTTTGTATCATCTTTCTAATTTATTCTGAATCCAATCTTGAATATTAACCATAGTATCAACATAAGTTTCCAATTTCATTGACTTTGATTTTGAAAAAGGCTCTACCTTTGTACAATTAAATGTGTATTTTCTATTTATATTTTTTGGTTTTATAATTTGGCATAACATTTATTTAGCGTTACTATTAGTGTTTTTGTTGTGGTGAATGGAAATTGATTTATGATTTTTTCTATTGACAATGGTTCTTGAACCTCGAAGTTCGCTCCATAATAACCATGAGATACCATCATGTCAAGACATTGGTTGTGAAATTGATCTTTAAACGATTTAAAATTTCTTAAACATTAATTTAAATTTCTTTCTTCTATTGATAACTTTAAGTATTTCCATTCATTTTATTAGTTTTATAGAAAATGGGCCATTGCCTGGTGCAGAGGTAAATGCTCAGGCTGTCAGGTATAAGAATGTGGGTTCAAATCCTGAGAACAGCCAGTGGTTAGCTCTATATTCAATTGTCCCCCTGTATCCTTGATTAACAAGGACCATATTAGGTAATGACCCTTCTTTTCTTGGTTATAACTTTTATGAGATTATAGATTGAAATAACCATTTACTTATCAAAAAAAAAAAAAAAAGAAAAAGAAAAAAAAAAAGAAAAAACGAAAAAAGAAAAAAAAAAATATTGAAATAACCATTTAGTAGTTTTTCTCAGGCCCCATGAAGAAAAATACGGATTTTGCCCGACTGCACTAGTTATAGTTCTTCTTATTTTTTAGTCATTCAGGCTCTATTTGAGGCCATATCGTCCCTGCACACTTTTTTCTCTAATCTTCAACCTATGTTCATTCTTGCCTTATTTTTTTTTTTCTTCAATTTCATCAGATTTAAATCACTTGTCCTATGAGTTTAATAATTGTTCTTTACATGTCTGTCTTAACCAACTTTTCATCTTGCCCCCAATGGATGCTAGAATTAGTTTCCTGTTAAGTTCTCTTTTCCCATTTATATATTTTTTCTTTTTCCTGACTTATCCACACCAACATCTTATTTGAGATGATTCATTTTACAACATGTTTTTAAATAGCACAACATATTGTTTTCTAATAAAAAGGTGTCGCTTACCTTTTAGCTTCTAGGACTATTCACCCATGATAATGTAAGGTGTCAGTTTTTATATCTATTGTCCAAAAATTACCATCAATTTTCATATGCCATATATTTTGTCTTTGTCGGTTCAGTTTTTTCAATTTAGCATTTAGTTAAAAGTCCTGTTAACAATAATATGTCTTGTGAACAACTTGGTTTTGATGCCATCATTGTCTAGTTACTAGCCCCTTTTTCATAATCCCTCCAGTCGTCTTACTTAGGCTTTGATTTTTGACTATAAATTTTGTACTGGTTGTGTTCTTCTCTTCAAAATGTTAGGTTCGTATACCTGTTTTCACATATCCATCTATAGAAATAGTAAGAAGATAACCTTCCATATTTCTTCTCCAACAAACTGTTAAGGCTAGAAGTCGGCCAGTCTCACGAGTCTGCTTTGACTGATATTCAGCTGTTGTGGTTGATGATCTGGAATATATTTTATTCTAGTTTCTTTATTTTCTATCCGAGGTTCTTCATATTTATGTACAGCACCTTCAAATGGAAATGACTCTCTGATTCATTCACTTTTTAGAATGACCTTCTGGAACAGAAAATTCATTGCCATAAGCCGTTTTTCATGAAACATCTATTTAATAGCCAGACATCTTTTCGGATGTCAAGCAACATGCACTTTAATATATATTACGCATTAACTCTATCAGAATGATACGACTTCAAAGAATTCCTGCTGGCAACTTCAATTGGTGTTTTTGGTATTGCATGCTTGGCTAGATATTTTAAGTTATAGGCAATACGTGACCTTGGTTTGTTGAGTCAGTTGCCTGTGGTTTTTGGGGAATCCTACTGTCACATGTGAGATGATCACCTTATTTAAGGTTTCATCTTATTTAAAATTTTACATGCATATGCTACTGATTAAAGATACAAAAAAACACCTGTCTTTTGTTTGATTTGTCAAATTCCTGTTTTAGTTAATTGTGGGAGTTTCCATATATTAGAAGGGTTATTATGAAGGAAATTTTGCATCGATAAGGCTGTAAGTGATGAGGATTCTTGTGACATTGTTTTCTGGGCTATTTACTCGTACACTGATGGTGCTATTAAACTTAAGGATCAGTATGTATCTATTTTTATTCTTCCTAACTGTTTTTATATCCACTTTTATAAAAGTTAGCTGCTTTTGAGATATTTAGATTTCTTAAACTTTCATGAGCATAGCAGATTAGTTCAAAAAGTAATATAATTAGATTTACTGTTGTAATATATGATTGATTTAGGAGTATATTTGCAATTGTTGCCTTTTGCAATATCATTAGCATAAGGTAGGTACCACTACTTATTCAGGACATCCTTTCTGGCAGATTTGTTCTTCTGGAAAGTATTTAAATGTGTTTGTTTTATTTTTTACTCATAGGGGGTGCAATAAGAATTCTAAGGTTTTGTATCAAGAATTGAGTTAAGCTAGGGGTGGGAAAGTGATGGAGGATAGCCCCAAGGTATTTACCTTTCTGAACAATATTGAACCCGGATTCCAGACAGTCTTTTCTTGGTCATACAAAATTCATCAGAATCATTTTTGAACATTTTAATGTGACTACTCAATTTTGTTCTGTGCAATTTGTTGGAATTGTCCAAATCAGTTATTACCATACCCATCTGTAGCCAGATTTTAGACATCATTAGCAAACCCCTTTTCTGGATTTAATATAATTTCCATCCCGTTACACAAATATAATCACGTGTGTTGAACTTGAATTGCCTTGATTTTTATTTAAATATGATCACAATTTCTTCAAGGTGTTATCAGATACTTTGTTCCTATGTGGTGATTCACAAAAGGTTGATATTCTCATTAGATAGATTTTGAATAAATAACTGTATCGTGAGGATTAGATTAGATTGACAATATTTGGGGTTTGGATTGTTGAGATTGGTTCACTTGCACTGATAAGCCGAGCCTAGCAACTTGGCTAGGCTTCCATCTGAGCTACTTCTCAACAGGACTTGAGAAAATTCTTGCCTTCTTACCTGATGGCTAGGCAGCTAGGAACCTATGGTCTGGATTGTTGAGATTGGTTCACTTGCACTGATAAGCCGAGCCTAGCAACTTGGCTAGGCTTCCATCTGAGCTACTTCAACAGGACTAGAGAAAATTCTTGCCTTCTTACCTGATGGCTAGGCAGCTAGGAACCTATGGTCTGAAGGGTTACAGTGATCTGGTATCTGCTGATTGTATAGCTAAGGAACAGTGTAGAGCGGGAAAGCTTAGCTGTAATGAAAGGGGATGTAATTGTTATTGACATCAAGATGCAAGCGGATTCTGGCATGGTGTTGATGACCCTTTTTTTTTTTTTTCTTTTCCTAGTTGTGTTGATGACTTTCATTCTTTGGTTTTCTGGAGTAATCTACTAACCAGATCTAAGAATGCAATAGCATTATCCATAGTGGAGGTTTTGCTTGTCTATTCTGTTTTAACAATGAGATAACAACACTACCTTATAATATCTATGTTTTTTTAAGGTATTGTAATATATATGTTGTCATCTTGTTTTCATAAGATAGGGAGAGATTTGTCTGCAATCTGCATAATAGTAATATCTTTATATTGCTTCCACTTTTATCTATGTCTACCTTGTAATATCTATGTATTATTTTAGGTATTGTAATTTATATGGTGTCATCTTATTTTCATAAGATAGGGAGAGATGCGCCTGCATAATGGTAATATCTTTATATTTCTTCCACTTTTCTGTCTGAAGTTTTGAATTTCCATGATGGTCATCTCTTCCCACGTTTCTAGACCATTCTTGCGCATTTGGTCCAGTATCTTGGTGAAAGTTAATGGTTCTTTATATTTCTCTTCCTGTGCAGATGTCAGAGTGGGGAAGAATGAGTATGTGTGATGCTGAGAAAAGACTTCTTGCCAATGCATTGCTCGATATCTCCAATGAATGGTTTGTTCTCCTCTCCGAATCTTGTGCCCCTCTCTACAACTTCAGTGTCATCTACCACTACATAATGAAATCCAGATATAGCTTCATTGGTGCATTTGATGACCCTGGGCCATATGGGAGAGGACGATACAATCACAACATGGCACCTGAGGTGAACATCAGTCAGTGGCGTAAGGGGTCGCAATGGTTTGAAATCAACCGAAAGCTTGCAATTTACATAGTGGAAGATACAAAATTTTACCCAAAGTTCGCCAATTTCTGTAGACCAGCCTGTTATGTGGATGAGCATTATTTCCCCACCATGCTTACAATTCAATCACCAAATCTCTTAGCAAATCGAAGCATCACTTGGGTTGATTGGTCAAGAGGCGGTCCTCACCCGGCTACTTTCGGAAGAGGGGATATCACCGAGGATTTCTTAAAGAGAATTCTTGGAGCTCACAGCTGCGTTTATAATAATCAACCTTCCTCAGTTTGTTTTCTTTTCGCTAGAAAATTCGCCCCAAGTGCCTTGGAACCACTATTGCTACTAGCACCAAAGTTTTTAGGTTTTTGAGGAATGGGATGATCCGTTGAATTCTAAATTTTGAAGCGCAAATTGACATAGAAAGAAGGCACAAATTGACAGAGAAAGAAGGACCGACAAGCGTTCGCCGCGACATTCATTCTTTGTGCTCCACTTCTTAGGTATTGTCACATTGTCACCCTCTTATCATTCTCTTATCGTACACTTTCAATACTTACCGGTCTAGGCACTGTCCGCTACATCCAATGATTTTTAGATGTACAGAAACTAGCATCCAGATTTAGCATCATAATCGCATTCATAAGGTCAAGATCCGAGTTTTAAGCTACCAATCGTGCTTGCACTCGCAAATTATTTTACGATAACTACTGTGTAATATTCCTTTTTCTCTGTCATCGTTGCTCATCCATCTCTGTTATTAGAATGATTTGCTGTGTCAATTGCTGTGTCAAGTACATTACTTGCTTCATAAGAATATATTCCTTTCTGGATTTCGGTTATTATTTGTTTCAGATGTATTGATCTATTGCCTTGTCCGTGATAATGAATATCTGCAGATAATGCCATACAATTCAACAAGTTGCCATTATTTTGTATTGGAATTATTACTTAGAGATTTTTCTTATTTTGAAGAACCTCCAAATTGAAATATATATATATAAATACACACACACACACACACTTGTAGTATTTGTCATGCATGCTAAAGGTTACTTGTTGTCTAGTTGATGAACTATTAATTTTTTTTTTTTTTTTTTTAAATCTCAACTCAAATCATGAAATTTATAAGTTGTCGATTAGCCTACTTATAACTAGGAATGACAGTTGGGTGGGTTTAAGACAGGGTTTTCTTAAACCCTATCCCATAAATAGGAATGGTAGTAGGGTGGGTTTAAGACGGGTTTTCTCAACCCCATCCCGCCCCATTTATCTACCTGCAACTATGTTCTTGTTCCAAACTCGAGACGTGTTGTTAGTCCCCGAAACATCCACAGGTTAGGCTAGAGGGTCGGGAAAGGGCAATCACTCATTCTTAAAACTAACGTTATTAGGACTAAATATTCGAGTGTTTTGTCCCATTAAAAGCAGGATGCAGGAAACTCGCCGGGTCAGGTGGAATTGTCACTCCTACTTGTAATGAGGAGTTAATAATGAATGTAAGCTTGGTGGGTTGTTTTGTTTTCCTGAAGGTCAAGGTAAACACGGAACACTCACAAACACACACATGTATATGGTGTACAACCACAATCACTCTAACAAAAAATTCAAAAAAAAAAAAAATCATTGGGGTGAGCTAGGGTTTACTTTAGGTCAACTCAGTACTAGAATTGGGTACAAAGTGCATTAATTTGATTTTAATGGTGGTGGTGGTGGTCTTTTTGGGTTGTGTGGTGGAGAGAGACCACTAATTTAATGGCTATAATAAGGTCCTTCTCAGCACCATGAGATGGGAAGTATTTCTAGATTTTAAATTTTGAACTTGAAAAAATGAGTCCTTACACTTGCATTCCATATAGTCCTATGGTGCAATCCCCAACTAAGAAGTGCAGAGCTCTTCACTCATGCTTAGGTCGTGAACTCTTCACATTTAATTACTTAATGGATGCATTTTTGTAAGATTTGTGAAAAGTTAAATGAATCATTTAGTACTTTCTTTAATTCATTAGTTAAATGTGGACTCCACTAGTCTTGTCACCAAAGAGCTCATCCATGTTATACACATGCAACATCAATGTATCACATTTATATCGAAAATGCAACATATTACATTGAGTTGCAACACGGTATTATCATTAAATTGAAAATGCAGCACATTTATATTGTTTGCAATAGATGGTAGTGAATCTATAATTCGTCGTATTAGTCGATACGCGGTCTGTTCGTAACCTTTTTTTAAAAGTTTGATACCATTACACGTCTCCATATACCGGTCAATTTATACCGATATTCTTCCGAATTCATTACACCGCGATCGTGAACCATGATTGGATCCGGTAAAAGCATCTGGTTTTAGTCAAAGACATGAGAGTTAAAATTGGTTTCAGACTGCTGCCAGGGCTGTGGTTTGCCATCCGTATTTGGATTTGACAGAAGACCTAACAAAATTCAAATGTCCGGTACATAAAATTCAAATGTATTTTTCCATTCTCAACAAAATTCAAATGCTTTTTAGTTCGGAGCACATGAGAACTGTCAAATCCAATTCGATCTAAATCAAATTGTACCGTAGATTAGTTTCCATTTCATAAATAGTTGAATCCTAACAAGATTTTATTTTCTCTCATTTGTGTCTGTAATTTTCTAATTAGTCGAGCGAGAATGGTGTTGGTGGTGGTGGTGGAGTGACAATTATTCTTTCCGTTTCTGAATTTATGTTTCTCTTCTGATGATCTATGTGGGAAACTTTTTTAATTATAAATATTTTAAAATCATTTTGAATGAGTTAATCATTTTTTTTTTTTGGGCAATGATTTAAAAGTAAGAAGTTTGTGGGGACTCCAACTTAAGAATAAATATTTAGGTGCACACAAAGTTTGGATTGGACCGATTTAAAAGTATTTTAAAATTAAACTAAAATTATTACTTAATCAAACAGTGAAATTAATGGAACCGAACATAACCAAATTATGAGAACGATTTGGTTATGTTCAATCCTATGGTTTTAAACTTTTTATAATTCAATCTAATATACATATATATAAAATATATTATATATATTATAATTTTTTATTATAATATTATGATATATAATTGATTAATTAAAAGATTAATCTTATTATTCTATTATTTATATAATACAAAATATATAAATATATATAATTTCTAAAACGGTTTGGTTTGGTCTTGTAGAATTTCAAATCGTAACCGAATCATTTTTAAACGATTTTATATTTTTAAAATACGGGACCAAACCAAACTATAAAAAAATCAAATCAAATATATCGTTCCGAATTGAAATGGTTCGATTTACCGGTTCAATCGATTTTTTATACCGCCTTAATAAATATTTTCTCCGCCCTAATTTAAGAGTCATTTAGGGACAGACAAAAAAACAAAAACACGCACGGCGTCTTGTGTCCATATATATACTAACGTGTTTTTAATACTTACGATTCAGACGAATACGGTGCACCTAATAACCTATAAATATAAATTGAAGAGCACTTAAAAGACCTAATCTTCTCTAGCACACGGCCGCTCCTTGACGAAAAGTAGGAGTACATTTTCCTTTTTGTTTTTGCTCTCCCACAAATTGCGTAATTGGGGTTGTAGAACACGTGTGCAAGGGAAGGTTCTCGAAGTTATAATAAAATCAGTTAATAAACATTAAAAATAAATTTTAAAAAAAAGAAAGTTAAAAGAAGACAAAAGAACCCAGACGAGACAATCACGTGCCGTATATTCTCCGTCAACTGGGACAACTGTTTTTTCCACCCTAATACGTACGTGTCACCTTTCCATTGGATAGCTTCGCACATTTTACGTGTGTGTGGTCCCACATGTTGTAATTATTGTGATTGCCTTAGCTTGATTGCGCGCCACCTTGTGGAATCCTCTCTTCTTTTCAACGTCTTAAACAATTCCCCCTTACAAATTTTTTGTGCTGTCAAAGTGCTTAAAAAATTAATTAATCCCTAATAAAAATGGATTATATAAAAAAGGAAATCAATCTATTTATTCTGCAATATATATATTATTCTTATTTTAAAATCTCAAATAAAACTCGTATTTACTTATCTTGGTAGAAATTTGAATTACCAACTTTTTTATTTTTTTTAACTTTTAATAGGTAAGCAATTTATCTTTAAACGAGAATCTTTAATTGGTAGAATACGTGATATCATTGTTAAATTAAAATTCCGGACAAATAATCGGTTCAATTGATTATTTTCTAAATTTTAATCGGTTCAAACAATAATGTCATGTTAGTGTTAACATGTCGTATTCTGAGATTTAAAGACAATAATATTTTGCTATGTATGTCAAAATGAATACAATTCACTTTATTATTTGTCACAAAACCGGTACCAACACAACTTATTTAATAATATGTTTAATAACATGTCAATAAATTAAATAGACATAAAAAGATTAAGTTATAATAAAATCAGTTAATCTATTTAAAAATAATAATTCATATTAAATTCGAATTACATTGACATATTGTGCCCAATTTTATCATCTCGAAGTTAACGATTTCAAATTTAGTTCAAAATTGGATAAATGAGTGAAGCTCAAACATGATGAACATTCAAAAACAAATTTAAAATCATTTGATCCACAGTTTGAGAGTTTTTTTTTCTTTTAAAAGAAAAAAAGAGACATTTTTATTGAATTGTCTTTTAAAATTATCTTAAAATAAATCAATATCTGTTTTATAATTATAATTTCTTCAAGTACAAATCAAACAAACCTTGGACTTCAATTTGATTTGATTGAATCAATCTTGACCAATCAGATGTTGAACTGATCTAAAATCAATCACTGTTCTATGTAGACGTCTTTTATCGCCTCGACATCGAATCAACTTGAACTCAAAGCCAACGACGTCGTATACCCCGATTGCATCATACTTAAAAAGGCGTACCTTTCAAATTCCAATTTTTTTCAAAATTAGCGTCACATGATTCCATGATTGGGGTGAAACCATGGGACCCACAGTCAAACAGCTGTCCTTCAACTAATCGCCAGCCTGTCAGTCCGGTCAGCTGCCCGAACCAACTGATCCTGTGCCCGAATATCTCTCTCTCTCCTCTCTTTATCTCTCTAAGACGTCCTTTTATATATTTTCTCACCACTACCATAAAAACTCTGCCAAGCGCTCTTTCTGTTTCTCACACACCACAACAGCCTTTTCATTTCCCACTACTTTCTCTCTCTAAAAACCTCCGTCCCTCTCTCTCTACAATGGCGGTGTCTCAGTCCACAGCTTCTCTGGTTGCTCTAATGTCGGTCATCCTCACGGTGTTCACTCTCATCGGAGCATCTGTCGCTGCCGACGCACCGGCTCCGAGCCCTATGTCCTCTGCCGGCGCCATCTCTCCGTCGTTCGCCGTCGGCTCTATCCTCGCCGTCGTGGCCTTCCTCTTCGGATCTGCGCTGAAGATGTGAGATCTATACAACGAGGCTCTCTTTTACTGCTTTTATCACTACTACTATTACTACCGTGCTTGTCACTGTCGATGATCGCATAGAGTATATATACATATTATAAATACATAGAGTTTCTCTGTCTAGGGTTTTATGGATTTATGTAGTGGATTGCTTCGTATTAGTAATGCTGGATCTTGTTTCTAGTATGATGATTCTAGGGTTTTGATTGGGTTTGTATTGAAAAAACACTCTGTTTTGGTGCACAGATTCTCGAAAATGCGTGTTTGATTTTTCGTTCATAACTTGACCTGATGGTTTGTGATCTCTTTAGATGATGCTGTTGATTTTTACTTGATGATGTGTTTGGTTGCCGAGAAATGTGTTGAAAAGAAATTCGTCATTATTAGGGAATTTGACAGAATTAACAAACCAGTCAATTGAAAATTGACAATACAACAATAATGTCTTGTGCTGAATGCGATTGTTTTTAATTTATTTTTTAAGAAATGAAAGCAAATTGTTAGAAGTAATAACCAAAACAGCTTAATTTCTCACACTTTCCTCAATTTTTTCTCGGTAACCAAACGAAGGTTTTTGTCCTTAATGATCCACAAATTTCAGTATATGGTTTCTCAATTTGAGAGGCTTTTATGTTATAGTTTTGGTGAAATTTCATATTTTGTATACTTTCACCATCTTTTTCAAAAACTGGTATATAAAACAGAACTTTGCTTTTGCACTTTTGTAGGATTGTAATGGTGTTAGGTTAACTGTCTATTTTCCTTAGTCCAGAAGTTTATATCTATATATCTATCTATCTATATATATGTATGTATATGTATATTTATGCACAATTATTGTCATTGTGGAAAAATAGTGATATTCATATCCTAATCCACATTCTTTTTTTCTTTTCTTTTTTTATATGACTTAATTACTTGTAAAAGACAGTAATTCTCTTCAATTATTTTCCTTAGTCCAGAAGTTTCTATCTATATATCTATCTATATATATGTATATTTATGCACAATTATTCTCATTGTGGAAAAATTGATGATATTCATATTCCTAATCCACATTCTTTTTTTTTCTATTTTTTTGTATGACTTAATTACTTGTAAAAAGACAGTAATTCTCTTCAATTATGATTGGAAGCGAATTGGTGGCTGGAAATTGAAAAATTAAATAAATTTTATAATATATCAATTCTCATATAATTATTTGAAAAATAATTCATTTATTTCATATATGGGCAGTAATTTCGTTGTTTCATTTTTAAAAAAAAAAAATTGTATGAGATGGGAATTGTTTTTGGTTGTTGGGGAATTATTTTTGGTTGTTGTAAAGTGGTTTGCTGATTGTTTAGTTTACATTTGGAATTATAAGCGAATTGAATTAATATACCTGAAGAGTAGGTGTAATTAATTCTATGAACAATTGAATTCCTTTTGAAAAAGAATTGTGATGGCATTGTAGGTCGTGTGGTGTGTGTGTGTGTGTGTTTTGCGTGTTGCGTGCCTTGTGCTTTTCTACATTAATGAATGGACAATACTGCTCCATGTTATAATTACTAAGGAAATATCTTAGAAAATTATGTTCCTTTTTTAGTAACAAAATAAAATTTTATTTTTATAAAAAAATTGATATTAATGCAACACGAACTTTTTCGTCTTCCAACACGCTTGCATCTAATTACGTAAACACCCTTACATAAAAAAATTCAGCATCCTTTACAAATGCAAAACACCCTAACACATTGGGAAGCGATTCAGTAATTTTCTTTTTAACTTCGTCGATTTAAATCCTAAATCACATTGAAAAAATAGACCTTAGGTCATTAATTCACTTTCGGACAATTCTTAGGTCCTTTTCACATAGTGAGTGAATACATATTTATGGTATATATATAAAGTATATATATAAAGTATATAATATCTCTATAAGTTTTAAAAATTATTAAACATTTAATTTTGAAACAAATAAGGACTTGAATTATGAAAGGACTTAAATGTCCCTCTATAACTGAGTTTAAAAAGCTAAAAAACTATTTAAATATGAAATGACTAAACTATCCCTCTAAAAACTCAACATAAGTCTATAGGTATAACATACCAGAATTATATACCTAACATAAATCATTGTTTGCTCATTTTTTCAAACTTAATGAATTTATGGGTATTATTTGCCTAAATTGTAAGTGTTTTTCTCACTTTATTCTTATCTAATTAAAAGGGGGGAAAAAAGGGATTGAAGGCGGGAGAAAATTTCTACTGTATAAGAGAAATGTTTTGTGGAGGTAACATGTACGGGAGAATTCATCAAAACGTTAAGGGAAGCACCCACCCAAAACGTTTATGGACTAATGGGTCAAAAGGCAAAAATAATTTTAAGAGATGGTAGCTTACTAACCAATAATAAGTTTATGTGGCAAAATAAAATTTTTGTATAACTTCTATGTACTCATGATTTGTAATGCAACGAATATCAAAGCATAGTCCAACTTTCGATGGTAGTACCATATTAATTCATCTTTTCCAAAGCCATTTCTCAATCAAGCACTAATTTGTGGGATGAACTTTTTCTTTTCCTTTTTTGTCCTTTTTCACTGTGGTTACATTATCAGATTGACCACTGTGTTAAAGGAATCATATGACTAAACTATTTTCAGCTTCTCAACAAATACACTGTTCTTGAAAAATAAGGTCACAACCTTTTAAAAAAAAAAAAAAAAAGCCCAACCACATATTTATCAATCACCATCAGAATCACCTTCCTTCCTTTCAACAACACAAACATACCAATTAATTGTTCCACAGTTCCTACTATTCCGAGTCAGACTCCATGTTCCCCATAGCCTTTAACCCTCTTGGTCTCTGCAAAGAATACAAACGCAAAAAGTGTATACAAGTCAATTAAAAAACAAGACAGCACACATCCAATTATGCAAATTCACACACACACACACACACAAATTTCATCTGCATTTGGGCAATAGTGTGTAACTATACCTTCTTAGAGATCTTCTTCTCCCGAACTTCATATCGTTCCAAGGTCAAATCACATAACCATGCCCCTGGACTTACCAACTATGCAACAAAACAAAGTTTTGAGTCATGTTAGGTCCAACTAAAAATACATTAATCAAAGCCAAACACCACCTTAGCTACATGAGTGTGATCGTAGAGAGTAAATAAATTCAACGTTATTATGAATTATTTATTATTCGCATTCATTCATTATCTTTGATATTTGGTGGGTTATCATGGGTTTTGTGTCTCTTGCATTTTGGAAGTTGCTAGTGTGGTCCAGCCTAGAATACAACCATTATGTGTGTGTGTGTGTGAGAGAGAGAGAGAGTGTGGTCCAAGCTGGGATTCAACCACTATTCAATAGAGAGATCATGTATAAATATATGTATATATTCACCTAGTTGTGATTTGCCCACTAATCACCACCATAGACATTGTCCGCCACACCCGTGTCCGAATCCTCAGCTGTACAAAACACGGGTGGACGGCTATGATCACACACACATACGAGTGATCTGACTATCCGGCTACTGGTCCACGCGTGCTGGAACAGTATAGGATCCACCGTACATGACTTTCCGGTGACATTCTTGGAAGGTTTCTGATTTTTATTTATTTAGAGCAGCCCCACTAACATATAAATTGACACGTAGAAAGCGTATTAACGACACCCACCTCTCTTGGAGGTTACAGACTTGGATCAAAAGAAAAGGCAAATATAAATATCACTGACCCACCCCACCAAAATCAACACCCATTACAAAAATCCAACTCTTTTTTCACCTCCAAGAATGACAATTTGGACTACAACAAAAAAAAAAATAGGCTGGATTCATTTAATCTTCTGTTTTTACATAATTCAATATATAATAAATAAATAAACATGCGAAGTTCTTTGGGTCAAAGAAAATAAAATGATAAATACACTCACTTTTTGTTTTTTTCTTAAACAGAAATGTCCCTTACACTTGATTCTTGCGGTTGAATCAAGGTTAATAATGTCATTTCACATTATTAAAGAGAAAGTAATTGACTGCAAATGAAAGTTTTGTAGGTCATATCCATTCCTTCCCTTGTGACAGCCGATAGGGCCCACCATGTTCCGGAATATATTTTGATTCTTATTGATGTATTTAATTTTGAAAAAAAAAAAAAAAGATATTCCCATGTAGAAAGGGAATATATCACATGTTCTTACACTTCCTTTTAGCTGAAAAAATAAAAAAAAATAGAAACAATTGTATTCTCAAATACATTCTCTATGCTTTAACTAATGATACAAAGAGTATTTCTCATTTTCTATATTTGTTTATAAAAAAATAAAATAAGAACAAACAAACAAATATCACTCGCTCAAAAGTATTTTTGTTTTTAGACAATTTAGCACACCTACAGTCTGCAAAAGTACCTACAAATGGAGTGTGAAAGCATTTCAGGAAAAATGAAAATCACTTAAAACTACTGTGTTATAAAAAATAAAAATAAAAAAATTGATGAATTTATTTGGTAAATACATAATAACGTTTATTATCATTTAATCAATTATTAAATGTAATTTTTTTAAAAAAAACCATAATATTAAAAATAATTCGGGGAAGGAAAAAAAAAAACTAAGAAAGAGAGAGAAACTTACGTTGAGGGTTCGTTGAATGAACTTGGCTCTTTTTTTGGGTCTTTGAGGCAGCTTCGACCCTTTGATCGCCATGAAATCCTCCTCCTTCTCCTTGTTCGTCAACGCGATCACAAACTTCGGCGGCCACACCATCGGGATCGCATCACTCCCCGACGACGACCCACCCCTCTTGCTATCGTGCGCCGTCTCCGACGATGCCGACCCACCATTATTATTATTATTATTTATATGGTTGTTATTTTCATTACTAATATGGTTGTGGTTGTTATTATTGCCCATGTTGCTATTATGAGCTGTACCCCTCTTATCCTGCGCACCCCCTCTCTCCGGTGACGCCAGTCCCCGTACACCGTTGCCGTGATGTCCCTTCATACCAATTGAACCCTCTGAATTCCTGCAAAATCACACCAACCAAACACATCATCAGAAAATTCAAAAAAAAAAAAAATAGACAAACAAACCACAGATTTATATATATTTATGTAGATATATATATATATTTATATATGTCATGTATATTTATAAATTATAATTGAATAATAAAGTGAAAAAAATTAATTACGTGTAAAATTACGGAATTGGGCTTTGGGGGGAGGACCAGATCGGGCGCAAGTGAAGGCCTAGTGTTTTGCGTAGAAAATGCGCTTTTTAAGGAGGGTTCAGTTATGAATTTGATTATCGTTGAGAGAGATATTTGGGACTTGGGACGTGTGTGATTGAATCTAACGTGCACAGCTGGGGGACACGAACTGGGAAAAGGGAGTGATATGTGTCTGTGGCAGCGTAATGGCCGTTGGATTCGGTTGATGTTTTTTTTCGTGTTGAGTGTACGTGTCAATATGTTGGGTGGGTGAGGGGAGGGAATGGGACCAGATTGGATCGGACGGTTGAGGATGGTTTGTGTGGGAAGTTGTTTTGTGGACACGTGGCACGAGATGTATCCACTTTCCCAACTCCTCTCAAATGACTGACACCTAACATCCAGAGAGGTGGGAGCTATGATCAGATGTGAACCAAAACATCATAAGCCCGCTACAATGATTATTCTTTCACAAGTTTCACATTTAAACAATGGTTAGGTAAGATGATCAGTGAGGAGGTCAACAATAACCTCTTGATCGCATGTTATGATGAGCGCAATCTCAGGAGATTCGTTGATAACACACGTTCTGTAACAGTAGAAGATTCCAACACAAACAAATATGAGCAAATACATTATATGAGACAGTATTGAACATTCTTCTTGAAAGATCGAGTCTATTCAAATAGTTGAGCAATTTTAACTTATTAATATTTCTTATATTTGTTATGACAAGAATGTCAAGAGTTAGTGATTAGAAAGAAGAGAAAAAATACAATTACTCCGACAAGGCAAACGGAAACTTACACTTGCTAACGTCACTGTGTGGGAATAATTGAATGGCAATTTCCAACCTTTTTCTTGAGGGGATCCTTATCCCAGTGAGAAAGGACAGTCAACAAAGAGGGGCTCCCAATACATGATACAGAACCTCACTATGACCCACCTTATCCCCCATACAACGCAATCCTCTTAATTACCCAGCAAAGAAGTACCAATCCCGCTTCATGAAAATTCAATATTCATAACGCTACATTACATATTAGCCACAATTAATTTTCTTTTCTAAAATACGCATCTACACACGCCTCAAATCATCTCCTATATTTGAACCCAAAAAAACCTATTACGAGGCCGGATGAACCATCATAACCCATTTTACCCACATTCGGGTCGGGAGAGAATCATAAAGATGACGAGTCAGTTTCATTATCCAAACACACAGATATGAACTCATCACACACGCGCGCACACACACATATATATATATATATTATATATAAGTAACTTTACCAAATTCTAATCATGCTACACCAAATTCTAGAAAAAGAAGTCGTCGAAAATAAATAATTAAATAAAACTGTATACAAATCTAACCTTTCGCAAGTGAAAGGGGACTCTCCGAAGCTCCAAAGAACGCCAATGTGCTACTATTGAAACAAGCAACAATCCTCTATTAATTACTGCACATACGAGTCATGATGCACCCTTCTAATTCATGAGCTAGAAACCACACCCCTACTCGCATTTCTCCAGTTGGAATCTTGTGGTGGGCCCACCCATTATAATTCAAAAGATAAATACATATACATATATATACATTTATATATATATAATTTTGATCTTTAAATTTGAAGGATGTATCTCCTTCTATTATTTATTATACTATATGCATACACTTTCGAAACAACCACGTCTAATACTGAACGTGCACCGAACTTGTTTGAACAGTAAATATTGTGACTTTTTATGTTGGGATTCCTATACTGAGCTGGCCCTTTAAGTACCCTAATATGCGTGTACAAATATAAATTTCATCAAATGTAGCAACATATTTATGCAATTACGTTGCTTTAGCTATCTCTCTCTCTCATAAAATACCCAACCAAAAAGGCCTCACAAAAAAAAAAAAAAAGCACCGGAGCGTTTACAACACGCGCTGAAAAAGCATTTAAGAAGTGAAGTGAAGTAGTACCTGAGAATTCGACGAGACGGCGAAGAGGGACGTTGCCGGAGATTGAGAAATCCATTAGTATTATTGTTGGTGATGACGGGTTGATTCAAACCCGATCCCTTGTTGTTATTGGCATCGGATCTAACAACCCGGCGGTCCACGCGAACCGTGGTCGTCCTGTGAACCGGCGCAGCGGCCGAGGCCGAGTCATTGTTGTTATTGTTGTTGTCCTTCACCTGGATCTTCATACACCTGAGCCGCTTCCGGTTCCCCCACTGCAGAACGAACTCAGACGACGCCGTCACCGTCGATCTCGTCACCTCCGACTGATGATAGGTCGATGAGGATGTTCTTAACGTTGTTGCTGTTGTTGTAAATCCATGATCACCACCACCACCTAGTACTCCTCCTACTCTTTCTCGATTGTGGTTGCTATTATTATTCCTCTCCATCTCCTTTTTTATCACACCTGTCCATTAAAAATAAATAAATATTTTTAAATAAAAAAAAAAAATTCCTGAAATGAAATAATTGACTGAGGTTAGCTTGGTTTATCTAATTTATAACTATAGTTAAGCTTTTCTATCTATAATTAAAGTAACTGAACACAGAAAAAGTAAAAACACAGATTTGGAGATCTCTCTCTCTCTTCAGGCCTTTCTATGAATTCAAACAAAAGAAGAGAAAAACAAAATTGATGATTAGTTCTAAGAAAATTCAAGCAGATATTGAACAAAGTAGTGGGTGCTAAAAATAGGTCTATGCAGATCTAACATCTAACTCACTAGAATAATCACGAACCGTCGAACACTGACGGGAAAATGGTGGGTTTCTTCTCCCTCTGTTTGGTTCCCGAGAAAATCGAGCGAAAGAGGAAATCAAATTAAAAGGCTATGAAGCATGGATTTCAGACTCAAACAGTGAGAATTCAGATTTCAATTTCTTCTCTTCACCTTGCATTTTCTCAGCAACCAAACAGAGCAACAAATTTGAGAAAGGGTTTACGGATTACGAGTTCACGAATACTTTTGGATAACGAAAACCCAGAACTTTGAACTCACCATCAGAGAGAGAGAGAGTTGCACAAATTGGTTCTTCCAAAAAACACAATTGAGTTCAAATTTCGCAGAAAATTTCAATCTACGAACAAAATCACTAGGAAAAGGAAGGGTTGATTCAGAAAACGAGAACAAAAACAAAACGCCATAAAGGACTGATTTGTTGCTGAAACTGAAAAGTTCAAACAGCCATTAACGAGTCAAAAACTTGTGAATCAGAATTGAAGAAGATGATACAATCTGGTGACGGAATCGAATTCACACACCGACGACCCGCGAAAAAGAAGAGGAGATGAAGAATTGTTTCAGAAATCGTCGCATTACCTGAAACTTTCAACTTCGTCTTCGACAAACAAAGCCGATACAGAAAGAAGAATCAAGTCGCTTCACTTCGAAAAATCAGGAAGGCTTGAACAGATTGTAGATCATCAAATGAAACTGCAATAAACACAACACATCATATCGTCAGCCACGTCGCAAATCTCAAACTGAAGCTTTTCTTTTTGCCCTAATTCTAATGAATTCCATACCTTCAAGGCCTGAATTTCGACAGATTTGTTACTACCACAACGAAAATCAACACAAGCTTTTGTAGTTTGAATCTTCGAACTATATGTATCTTCAAATTGATGGCTTATTTGAACGAATTCGTATTCAATTCCGATCTCTAGAACCAAGAAACTGATCTTTGCAGTTCAGACTCGTCTCTGAGAAATGTACCTGTAAACAAGGATTGAGCAAAAACAAGAATTAATCATAGAAAACTGGTACAGAATTGAACTATATCTCAAATTTTCTCAATTACGAACCTCTCAATAATCTCTCTCTTTAGTATTTCAGTGAAACACTTGAAATCTTCACAAACAACTGAGAAATCAAAACCAAAACCACTCCAAATTCGTTCGAATAACACCTTCAAAACTTTTCAAATGCATCTGTTAAACATAATCAAACAGAAGATGAGTCTTTTTTTTTTTTTTTTCTTTCAAAATTAATTACATAGAAAACAATACAGCATCAATCTGTGTGAAATTACGAACCTATGAACTCCAATCTCTCTCTTTCTCTCCAGAATTCACGATTTCTGTATTAAATTCAATGAGACGAAACCAATCCTTCAAAAGAAAAGGAAAATTAACTTTAGAGAACTAAAAAACACGATACATAATTCGAAATCAAACGGTGTATTCAATTACAATTTACAAACCTATCTCTCTCTCAGTTAAACAGAAAAATTCTCTCTCTCTCACTACAATATCCGAATCTTCACGAGCTCCAGATCTTCTAAGACCAGGACAACTTCAACATTTAGGCAAACGTGATTCTCACAGAACTTTCCTGGAAAATGCCCTCTGTTGATATGTTTTCCCGAGAAAGTGAAGGAAAAATTAAGGGGAACAAACAGAGAGGAACAGAGCTTCTGATAGAACGGAATGCTCTCTCTCCCTTTGAAAGCCCTGTTTTTATACCCGCCCGTTTCTTGTTCGCAGTCCGTCACGGCCCAATCATTTGTCTCCCAGACCGTTCATCACACATCAGACGGTCCACATCTCTCCTCTTTTGAACCGTCAAGTCCGTCACCAATTATCCCCATTTAAAACACTCCAAATCCACTTCACGCAGGTAAACGACGCTCTAACGGAATCTTCAACGCCGTTAATTAATTTGTCACCAATTTACCTATATTCTTTTTTCTTCGCGCTACTCAATTTTTGCGCGCGTGTTAAATAAATACATGAGCATTTGATCTGACGTCAATTATTATTATTATTTTTTTATTATTATTTTTTCATATCTAACTCTGCATATTCTAATTTAGTGATATTTCTTTAACTTATCAGTTAATTACTCCCTCTATCCCCTACCTCTGAACGACGCTCTAACGGAATCTTCAACGCCGTTAATTAATTTGTCACCAATTTACCTATATTCTTTTTCTTCTCGCTACTCAATTTTTGCGCTCGTGTTAAATAAATACATGAGCATTTGATCAGACGTCAATTTTTGTTTTGTTTTTTTTTTTTCCTTCATATCAAATCATGAATATTCTAATTTAGTGATATTTCTTTAACTTCATTACTCCTTCTATCCCTTATTAATAGTCAATTTTTTTCTTTTAAAATGTCCCAAATTAAATATCCACTTTAAAAAGTCAAATAAAATAAATATTATTTTTTCATAATTACCCTTTTAATTTTTCAAAAATCTTACAACTTGGTATTATATATATTTAAAGTTTGAAGGATAACTTAGTAATTTGAAATAGAAACAATGCATTAATTGCATTTTTTTTAAAAAGTTATAAAACTAAATATTGACAACTAATAAGGAAGGAGGGAGTAGCAATCAAACTACATAAAATTTATTTATATACCTCCAATATTATGGTATCGATTTAAGAATAACCGCCCGATGAGCAATTTTTGACAAAAGAAAAAAGTATTAAAAATAAAGCAAAGAAGAATTTAAAATGACATCTAATTGTGTAAAACGTGTCATTTTTTTATTTTTGTTTTTTACCAAAATAACCTAGATTAAGGTTTATTTAAAATAAATAAATAAATAAAACAACTAAATCCCTTACTATTTTCTTTTTTAATTCACAAGGACAGATCCATTATTTGCATTTCATCCTTATACTTTCTTTAATGACGTTTTGCTTTTGTTTTATTTTATTTTATTTATTTTTGAATTAGTACCTAAATCACATAAAACGAAAGCGACAAAATTATATCATAAATAGTAAGAGTTTAAGCGAGAGTGCGCGTAACGATACCTGTTGAGAATGATCGTGTGACTTAGATTGGTACAAGATGTTAATTGATTCATTAAAGGAGCAATGTGAAACATATACTATAATTGAGAGGACTTTACGGAATTAACTTTTAATTGAAGGTCTTCTTTGCTAAACCGTTCCATGGTGCTTACAACAGTAACTAACTTAACTAAGGTTGTTTGCGGTAACCATGGTTATTTTTATTCCAATTTGACGAACCGCGGTGCTTCGATTCTGTACAGTTTCTTGTGTACAGTTACTACACAGATCGCATCATATACATTTGTGGAGTACTATAATATACATAGATGATGATAGAGTTGACCAAGACCTTGAATCTGGACCGTTGATGCTAACTAACAAAATTGTTGATGTTGGGTCATTTACGAGATTGATTATTTGATTAATGTTTAGGTAATATTCATGGAAGAAACAAGATGGTGCAGGTTGTGTGCCTAGTTTTGCTCAAAAGTCATCAAATTGAGAATGTCTTGTGTGTATTGACTTACACCTAATGAAAACGTCTATAGAATCTTATATACCCATACGCGTCTCGTTACGATTGATTCAACTTCTCATGTGGACTTGAGCCCAAAGCCTAGAAGTTGCTATCAACGCCAATTTTTGTAAACTTAGGTTAAAGAGATGATAAATAGGTAATTTTAATTTCCGATTTAAACTTTCTAAAAATTAATTTGACAAATGATTTTACAATTTTATCATTTTTTGATTTTTTTTTTTCTTTTTAGTTGACATAATTTATTCATGATTTGAATAGTTTGTATAGTCCTTAATCATGAAATAATTCTCTAATTGCGCTACATTCTTCCAAATCAATCTGAATCCGACTCATTGTGATGAAAGGTTGGTAGAGAAGGAGTTGGAGAGGGATAACTGGGAGGAAGAATGCATGCATTATGTATTTTTTGCATATGAAGGTGTCGAAATTAGATGTGGATTTTTTAAAAAATGAATGTGGGATGGCAGAGAGGAAGAGAATTTATTTTTATTTTTTGGGATGGGGGGGGGGGTGTTTCAAGGTGGTTATGGCTTGGTTGAGGGGAAAAATTTTAACGTATGACGAGTACCGATGATGTGATATCACCTATTAATTTGACACTAACACGTATTGATATGTGGTTCCTAAGGATTATGTGTTAACGTTTCATTTTAATTTAATGTAATTCCGTTTATTGTTAATAAATTTCTTACATTCCTATTGATTAGTTGGCTAAGTTTAGAGAAATTAATAAAATCCTAATATGTATGTTTTGTATCAATAATGTAACCACTTTATTCTTATAAGAATTTTAACTCTCAATTTCTATTTGAAAAGTGAGGACTTACCACTCTACCATACCTTTTATTAGGGCTGATCACGGATCGGATAGATTTAGTTTGGGGTAAAGTTTAATCCAATTCGGTTCTCACATATTGATGAAATTTAAAACCAAATCGATCCGTGAGAATCTTCAATCTGAACTAAATCGATTCGTGATCGGATCGGATCAGATTGGATTGGTTTCCACGGATTAGGCTTTTTAAACAACCCAATATGATTATACTTTATAGTTCATTAAAATCTCAAATTAGTAATTAAAAACCTATAACTAATTTTTTAACATATATTACTATAAACTTAAATTACCTAATAACAAAATAGAGTTGTAAATCATCCAAAAATGAAAAGTCTTAAATAATGAATTACTCCGTAAAAAAATATATAGAAATATAGTAAGTATATTGTATAGAAATACACTATATATATATATATATATATATATATATATATATATATATATATATATATATATATAATGTATTTATATATAATTAAGGTAACGGAGCAGATCGGTTTTTGCAGGGCCCAATTCATTCACCGAACCGCAAATAGCAGATTGTTATTTTTCTAAACCATCACCGAATCATGAGATCTGAAAACTGAATCAAATCATACAGATCGGATTGATTCGGACCGGATTGACGAATTGAAGAATTATTTGCTCACCCCTACCTTTTATTCCTGGATATACTCTCTTATATAAAAAATAAAAATAATTATTTTTTAAACGAAGAATCAACTCACTACTTCACCATTTTGAACTCTTGAATGGATTGTATCTGCTTGTGCATGATAGTTAAGCTAAGCTTTGGCTCAACTTTGAGAATATTGAAAATTATGTAGCACCAAAATGAAAATTATGTAGGATAATTTTATTGAAAATTATTTTTTCTTTATAAAATTACAATTTTTTATTTTAAATTTTTTTCAGATTTTAATTGGTATAACTTCAAAACACAAAAAATCACCCAATGCCGTAACTTAGTAGTATTTTCTTATATTTCAAAATTAAAAATTGAATGTTTAATTTTCTGTAGGAGCATGTAGGTACGTGTGTTATTTGTTAGAAAAAAAAAGATGCATGGAATAGAGTTAAAAGTTGAATGAACATTAGATAACCTATTGTGTTTGCGCACTTTTAAATTTTGATTGGCTTCATTTGAAGATTACTTAAATTATAAATATTATACTAATTCAAGTTTTGTCAACTAATTAACAACCATTGTGTTCATTAGGAACATTTTTGGACATTCATAAAAAACATTATTTAAGCCTAGAATGAGCTGAGAAAATTTTCCCATAAAATAAAATAAATTACTGAATATTTAATAGAAGAAAAAAAAAAAGAAAAAAAGAAAAAGAAAAAAAGACAGGTGACACAACGTGCCACACCTCTCCACGACAACAGCATGTCATATTTTCAAGGCCTTAAGCCTAGTTTGGTTCTATATAGTCTCTCATATCCAGACAAAATAGGTCATGTTAGTCCAAAACTAAGTCCACTTTTTGTTAGAATCATTTTGGTGAACATATTGGGGCCCAACTGGTTTATTTTATTCTGTAAACAAACAGCCCACTACCACATTATTTGAGAATTGGTAGGACCAGACCCACAAAGCAAAAACAGTATCAACCCGAAAGTCTGATCCGATAATCATCAAAGGCTGTAAGCTACTCGTATTTTCTCTCAACCTTTAAAAGACGAGCAGAGGATTTGAGTTTCCAAAAAAACAAACCGGTGGCTGAATTTTTTGTCCAAAAAATATATATATATAAATCTGACCCGAGAAATTATATAAAGCATACATTATTTACTTTATCTTACTGTTAACCATTATTATTATTATTATTATTTTTTTTTTTTTTGTGGCTTTTAGTTTAAGATAATAAGGAAAAAATTAAAACACTCTTCCTGAGCTCACATTTTTATTACTTTATAAATAAATCCAAAGCATATAAATATATTTATGAAGTAGACGTGTTCATTCTGAACTATAAATACAATAGAGAGAAAATAAATTATATATATATATATATATATATAATTTTAAAAAATATCCATATTTATATATACTAGTGTAGATACAAGCGTGTTGCACGCAAAAACCTCTAATTATTTGTTGTACTTTCCTCTTTTTGTTGTGACATAAAAGGACACGATATATGAGCCTTTCGTTTAGAAGGCCTACCTGGTTGAATGATACATAATGCAATACTGAGTCATTTGGAATAGTGAGACACTAATTTATTGAACTATCGAGATATTTGTCAATTAATTAATTTGATGATGTACTAATTATTTTATTATTATTTATTTTATTATTTAG